CTGGAGTGCGCGATAGACTTACCTTCACGTAGTGCACCCTGGGCAACGTATATTCATACGGCAAAAAAGTCTATTAACTGGCAGTTGACTTCTCACTTCAAACTACCCTCACCCCATTGTATGTAATATTCGACTACTTCCACACAACTCACCTCGCCTTTTTTCTACCTTCGTCTTTGAAGCACTCTTCTGTCCCCCCCCCCTCTCGACTTTTTTTCCACTTTGATGTTCTTCCTCCCCTCTGTGAAGCCTGAAGTCAACTAAAGGCCTAATGATAACTATCAGAACGCCTGCCATTTGATATAAATAAATAACATTCCTACCATATGTCGCCTTTGATAATTTGACTGTCGAATAAACATAAGTATGATCGGAGCGTTTTAAGGGGACGTTAAGTACAAGACCTCATACGCACAGAAAATTGCAGAAAGTTGGGCATTAGTAATTGAAACTAGATAATCTCATTTCCTTTCCACTTTTTCCTCCCTCCCTCCCTCTCACTCTCCCCACACATAAACAGCATTTTTAATCAAAGCAAATGGAAATGACCATCTAAAAAGTGTCCTTTTTTCTCACAAAACACTCCTGTATACACACACATGCAGAATGAATAACTTCTCTGGTTCTCACGCACAAATTCATTAAACAAGGAGCCCCCTTTCATCCTTATGCACAGTCAACAAACAACAAAAGTGTCTTGGTTGAAGAAGTTAAATGGTAATGCATTGTCCTTGAACGAAAACTGCTCGAAAACAAGTAATGCGCCTGCAAAGGAACGGAAATCGACTTCATTCGTTATTATTATATTATATCCAACAGGCAGTAAGGCTGGTATGCCGATGGAAGATATATTAACCTTTCCGGTCATATTCGCAACTATTCGCTAAATATCGATATCAATATATGCGTATAGTCGCATTCATACATTCGTGTGAAATATTATATGCTCCATCAAAACATTCATTCATACCACTTTCATTGAGGATTTCAAACGTTGGAAGTAATTTCAAGCGCATTACATACTTTCACAAAATGCATGTGCCTTGTACCATTTCCATTAGTTGGGATATCCTAAAACAGGTGATCAAAATAGCACCAATTATTAGGCAAAACACTCAGGATCAACAAGTAAAAAATCATCTACTTTGACCATGATTATAAAAGACAAAAAAACAAGTTATTAATAACAAAAGACATAAGAGTAACGATTTGGTATCAATACTTTAGTGCCATTTAAAAAAAAAACTTGAGTGCAAATAAAAACGTGGCTAACAAAATTCAGACATGGATGAGAAAATGATTTATTGAGTCCACCTATGTGATTAACCAAGTGCGCATCGGTCAACATACAAGTCTGCACAGTTTGAGGTTACGCGTTTACTTCTCACCCGTCCGTATCTAAAGCGGCAATCGTAGTAGTTTAAGCTAGTTGAGAGGTGAATGAATTTGGAGACTCTCATTAGGGGGACTTCAGCACACCACGCGCATTCCTAAGAAGAGTTTTGCAAAATCGATCCATTTCAGGAGATTGGACGTAAATGGCATCATCATTTTCAACTCATCTAACAGCTGTCCAGATTAATTTCAAATTAGCAGTTTAACACAAAATCTTATCTTTATTTGACCTCATTTTAACAGAACAGTGAGATCTAACCTACTTGCAAGATAACGCGAGTCAAAATACAAATCGAAGTATTCCATAACGCAGAAAATGGGGGTGAGGGGTGGGGCAATGTGGCAACTACCACAAGCTGGCAAATGGCAGTCACATGGGGGTGGCGTTGAGCTCAGTTCCCACGACTTAAAATTGGTCGCAAAAAAGAGCAGATATCGGACGCGGTATTCTGAGCGAAGTGGCTGATTATTATCTGCTGTTATTTCTATTACAAATGCTGAAATTTAAAACTCGACACCATTGTGGAAAATTGTACCTTTCCGCAGGGGGTGAAAAATGCTACTAGCAGTGAGTTTTGGAATTAAATTGATGAATCGCCAATCGCATTGGTTGTTGTTCCAGTTTACTCATCCACTTTGCTTTCAAATTGACGTCATAGGAATAATTTTTATTACCCATGACAGGGTAAAAAAGTTAGCGTGAGAAAGCATAAAACACTGGGAAAGAGTAGAAATGGAAAATAAAATCACGAAATTAAAAGGGTCAGATTGAATGTTCCAATATTCCAACGCACACACTTCTAAATTTGACACGGGATCCCCGAGTCAACTCATGTTTGTGACGTTCAGAGTCACTTGATTAATTTTGATGGCTTGTCAACCGACTGTCAACACACTTTTTATTCTAGTACCCCAAATATAGGTAATATGATTAATCCTGACATGATTTAAACACTACAGAGAGAAGAGTATATCCATAATTACTATCAATCGTTACACCATAAGTGAAAATATGCAATGATTTCATCAGTTTCTCACAAACGATGGAATTTCTAAATTTCTCAGGCAAATATCTTATCACATCTTCACTAAAAGCCGGCTCAACACTCCGCCTAATTCGAATAAACGACAAGCCATAAACGATATCGATAAAATTTGTGCCGACTTAGGATAAAAGAGCATCCGAATCACATTTTTGACAGATCCGGCAGTAGACGGAACAAGCAGGCACAGGCAATCGCAAACTAAGATTACTACCATTCCATGACACGACAGCAGTAAAATCGAGAAGAATGTTCCGGAGTACGGCATATAGTGCTTACAACACGAAAGTGCGGCTTACTCAGAGAATTGAAGTTTTTATGTGGATTCAACTTATTACCTGTCATATTAAAGCCCAGTGAGAGCGCTTGACACTTGCGGTAATATATTCCTGTTTGAACAGACAAATCGTTGAAATGGACCATGTGAATGAATAGTATGCTTCTAGATGAAACATAGTCATGTGGTGTCGCAAAGCTCAAGATCGGAAAGGAAAATATTTGCAAGAATTTCGGACTACTTGAATCTTCAGACTTGCATCGATGAATTTTATGTAATGCACACCATCACAGTCCTCCATTTGAGATTGTAGTTAACGCTTCGATTAAATCTGTTATTTCGAATTTTATGCTCCACAAATAAACTTAGAAGCTCCGTTTGATTTCAATTGAGATGGGAAAAAATAGCTAAGAAATGTAAAATGTTAAGTGGACCTTAAATGTGTAGAGCACGACAATCCCGATTAAAAGATAGTTGCGCGTGATTGATATAGAAATAGCAACCCTTCTCAACTTGATCGATTACTGGCCTACACCTTTGCAAAAACGGGGTCTAGCATATCTAAACCTCAGTTGCCTTCAAATCGAAACTCCAACCGACGGAAATATTCACAAATATGACAACCCATGAAAGTGTTAAAAGGTAAACGGGCAATGGAATTAAATGGATACCTTTTAGTTCAGGACTAGACCCTCTATTTCCACTTTCCCCTCATTCCAGTAATTCCTGCATTGAAAGCTACGCACTTTCGTCCAAACTGCACCATTGATAAGAACATTTGATCACCTGAGCAAAGATTCCCTTCTTAAACATATCTTTTTATAATAACCTCTTCTTCATTCTGAATTAAATTCTCTAAGTCGCTTTCATATTTTAGACATTGGCAATATATTTCTGCTTTTCTTATCGTAGGAAGTAAACAATCAATTAACAAGTCAAAAGGAAAAGAAATCAACTCCCATTTTAAATAGGAAAACATTTCAAGATTTTGTAGCTTTCAATGAACAAGTGCCCAATTGTAGCAGAATGCCTTCCCTAATTGATCGCTTGAATATCGGTCTTAATGGCAAGTGAATTATTGAAATGAAAACCAAAAGCATGCTTATTTCAAGGCCTCAAAAAATCTGGTGTGACCTTGATCAAAACACTATTTTCCTCGGGGTAAATATCCTCCACGTACTATTGACGTCGTTACAACTTAATCCACGGCTTGACTGGAATAGATGCCGAGTGCAAATATTGTTACAATTTAAAGGACAGAAGAGGCGAATGAATGAGTGAAAGTAACAATATGGGCAGCATATGGGATGTATAACTGCTCCTCTTTCCTTCACCATGACAGAGACCGCCAAAAAACACACAATTCATGATTTTGGCATTAGGGGTGTTGAAAAAGGTAAAGACAAAGTATTTTTGTAGATAATTATACTAAGCTAGGGAGAGGAGTATTCGAGGGAAGACAACGTTGAAGACAATCCCTCAGAAATCGAGATTTAATCAATAGCTGAGATTTTTATTTCAGATAAACATAAAATGAAATGCCTTAACAATAACGAGAGGTAAATTCAATATTGATATCGATAAGTAAAAAGCAAATCAAGTGAAAAGTAACAGAAAGTAAGGATACACCTTCAAAAACAACTCATAATCGAAGATTAAGCAAATCTTCACTTGAACAGACTTCAAAAACAAAGTTTTTCCAACTCCTTCTGATTATAAGAAGGTAGTTAGCAAAGATATACACTATCATTATCGATTATTGGTTATTGGTTAAAATGATTTCGGATTGACAAAAATTTTCTATCGGCTTTTGAAGTAAAAAGTGAGATGAAGTGAAAATAAAATCAGATTAAAAACGCTTTCAGTTGTTCAATGTCAAAGTGAACAGGCCTCTGGAATAGAGCATTTTAACTATTGGCGGCTACAGAAGAGGGTTTTTGGAAATCTGAAGTTCCAGATTCCACAGATAAGCTACTTCAGTCCATATGCAGAAATTATAACGACCAATAGCATTGTTTGGTTATCGTCACCAGCTATATGAGTTTATGAAGAAAAGATTCCAGCAACATGGTGTTATGTAATAAGAGTTGAAAATCTTTTTTACATTGATGAGTGAGGATAACAAAAAATGATATTAAAGAGACTGTTATGCCGGGCCCTCATAGGCTTCCAAGTCAGGAATCATGAGATCAGTGCTTATCTCGCAAAAAAACACTGTAGAATAGATGATGACAGAGACGATTTCGATTACCGTCTAATCGGAAATTAAATTTTTGTAAAGGATGACAATAGCAAAAAACACCAACGATGAGAAATATACGAACAGCCTGAACTCACTAAAAAATATATGAAATATTTCAACAAATTTGCATGAAATTAAACTCACGATATCCAGACACAAAAACAACTGCATTAAACTCAATCCGCAATAAACCACTGCATTTGTCCGGTAATGGAAACAAACGGGTTTTCAAGAAAACACATAATAAAGATCTCAGATACATATCTGGAGTAAATAACAGGCTATTCAGTTTAATTGGTGCATAAGACTCAGAGCTGGCAATAGTGACGGAAATAAGGGAAAGAACTGATTTCCCAGCAGGGAGAAAGTGTGTGGTCACCACCACAGGGATACGCCAGAGAAGAGCTGAATCACTTTGAAAGGGTGGGAAATAAGAGGGAACCGGGTAAGAGTGTTAGCTCCCTTTTCAATTATGGTGCATCTAACTGATGACGTAGTTGGAATGAACATAAATGGGTCTGCCCATTTCAGCGTGAGACACGTCGCTTTTAGGTAATGAGTCCGCTATTCGCTGGGGATTTTAGCGTGAAAGGTATGTAGACGTCTGCCCTCATAAGGGGCGATGGACATTAATAGTATAAGTACTGCTCACTTAGTAAAGCATCTGACCAACTATAATAAAGCGGAGAAAATAAAGACCGCATATGTCTCTCTGTGATGACTTCTTTAATTATAAATCATTCATACAAGCGCTACCAAACCTTTTAAAATATCTTTCTGATTTCAAGTGAATTCACACTGGCCTATGAAATAACTGATTGCAAATGCACATAGGAATGGGACTACTCATATTTGATCGTCGTTATGGAGTAAAAGGCACTTCGAACATCCCACAAAATCAGACTCCAAGAAATCTTATAGTCAAGACGGTTTTCGTAACACAAACAAAAACTATGAAACGGATTCCACTTTAATTAGCATTGCTCTCTCCCCCCTATTCAAACCGCATCTTTAATGCTAACATCAATTGATGGTTTCCTCTTAACCGAATGGAAGAAACAAAATAAATAGTCATCGATCGTGGATTCACTATGGAGAGATAAGGAATTTCTCTCGACATTAAGGTTCTAGCTCTCTACATCTAGTTATTGAGCAATTTAAAGTTAAAGAACTTCCGATTGCTGAAATTATATAAAAGGACTACTTGGATACATGCCATAATTACCAAACTGACCACTCACATATTTCATGACTAAATGAAATAATTTTAACAGAAGTTACGCTAATAGGAATTCGAAACCCATGAACACTGACGGAAACGACCTTCCACGTCTAGCTATGCCCAGGATAGACATAAAAATAAAAAAAGGAAGGAAGAAACTTGCTATTAGCCGTAGGAGAAACGGTAGGCTGCATGGTATGTGACTGTCTCAGTGATGACTTGAGTATACTGCCATTGCTCTTATATGACACTCTTCCCCCATTATTCTCCGTTCCACTTCCACTTTCAGCAAAGGAAATCGGTGAGGGATGATCTGCAAAAGAGAGTCTATGCGTCGGTTGATTTTGGTTCTGTTGTTGCGCCTGTTTGAGTGGTTGCTTTGGAACTGTGGTTGATGATAGCCCATTGCCATTATGCCGTTGCTGCTCTTCTTTGAGGGAGAAAGGAGATGTTGGTCGACTCTTGCATCCTATGGATGACTGTCGTGCACAGACGGTTTGAGAACAACATACGCAATAGAATTCATCCTTCCAAATTGTAACGCGGTTACCGGGACTGAAGGGTGTTCTAAAAGACAAAACACAAAATACCCGTAACATATAGTCGACTTCTATTGCACTGCAACGCAATCCTGAGATCAAGGTTGCTGAGCAATATTTGAGAATAGTGGAAATATAAGCTCATCCTCCAGTCTTAGAGCGCCTCTTTAAACGAGGAAGAAAAAAGAGCTAGAAAAGTGAAATCATCTGAAGTATGCACACTAAAAAATCAGCAAATTAACAGAAATCGATAATCGCACTTGTACGCACCAAAATAACGCAACGCGCGCACGGCTGAGTCGTGAATTAGCAGTCGCTAGAGCAACCCAATCATTAGACGGTCGCGTCTTATGGAAACAGGAAGAAAAGTTAATTACGGCCTTACTATTATCGAACTGGCTTTATACAGCGCTAACGCTAGTTAATATCAGAGAAAATTATCAGAAATTGGATTAAATGAACAACCCAAAATAACCAGCAGACTCTTGCAGTTAAAAGTTCTAGTGGCTTTACCACTGTCAATTTTATGAAACAAATCCCACTGAGAAGTCAAATTGATATTTGATAAGCTGGAAATATTATGCCGCAGAAACCGTGGTTTGTCTCAGGATTACAGTTCACCTTCCACAAGTGGTCTCCCAGTTGTTTGTCATTCTTAGGCAGCATGCAATCGTTCAGCCTTCATCTCACAGACTCTGCTGGATTTGAGGCAGTAGTTGTGGCTGTAATACTATTGCGTTCAATTTGTTTAATCAAAATATCTTGAACATTATGGTGTATCGGATTGGAGGTGAGGATAAGGTTAAGACATCAATCGTTTTATGCAATATAAAACCCCGTATTGTAAAAATACTAGTCAGTTATGTGTGTAGCTAATCTGAAATGAAAAACCAAGCACTTATTAGTGATTGGCTGTTTCACTCAATGAGTCAGAATAAAATAAGTTTGTGAAAACGAAGCTTTTAATCTCAATCATTAAAATTTATCAAAAGTTAGCTAGCGATCGTCGAAAATTTATCAAAATATTTTTTGGTGTATTGCTCTTAACTAGTTACAGATCGTGACTACTCTCAAGCTGGTCTTTGAAATGTGCATAGCCGATTGAAAACAAACAGCCATAAACAACATCCTCCTAAAAATCTCAATTCTCTGGAAAACCGAACTTAATACGACTTGAAAAGCTTTCAACTAAAAGTTTTAATTTAATTATGAGGAAATATTCAAAATTTATCAGAATTCCTCAAAAAGAAGTCAACGTCACAACTTGTACCATCTTTACATGACTTGATCATGTAAGTAAATTGGACATCAGCATTAAAAAAGGCAAATTTCGGAATTGTGAAATTTTCTGTGTCTAGTTGGCAAAATTAGTAGCAAACTCAAACTCAAATGCGGTGACGTAGGAAAGGGGCAGTGGCAATATAGATGCTAATCCGACAGCATAAATCTCCAAGTTTCCACAACTTGCCATCTGTCATTAGCAGACGAAAACACTCTTGTTTCTCCGTTCGTGTTCGACAGATGTTGCAAAGGCGTTATTCTACTCGGTTGACTCAGTCCTGTGTGATTTATTATCCTCAGGTGTTTGATCCTACCCACTTTTTTTCCGTTTCCAGATAAATGTGAGTGGAATTCAAGGGCAAAAATAGCCCAAATGAGCTGTTATCATTAGCTAACACTCCAGACACCCCTCCAACGCCACCCCCCCCCCCCACTCCTCCTATCCGCCCTCAAGATCTAGATATAAACTGTCTGAAAAGAAGATAAATGAACGCATCTATACATGACTAGACGACGACCATTGTTTACGCAAACAAAAAACCACTAAGAGCTTGAATAGGAGAGCAGGTTTGCTCTTATAATTTTAGAGTGTATTGCGATTAAAAAAACTGCTACCCATTGCAGAGGCAAAGAAATAATGGCTCAGAGAAGAGGTAGTAAAAAATAGCCTCACAAAAGCAGCTACCTGGACACGACCGTGGCCTCAAAGAGCATAGCACTTCACAGTTAGGCCCATTGGTGTACAGGAACTAACACGGAGTAAACATTTGTGGAAGAGCATAAAACGGCTTGTGAAAATGTTGCCACAATTAAAGTCGAAACCATTATTTGAAAAAAAATGGAAACTAATTAATTGTGATCCTAACCCGTAACCTTTATTTAAGAAAAGTGATCTCAATTAAAATATGATAAGCGAAGATTTAAAGCTATGTGGTATGAGTCAATGAAAATTAGGGTATAAAAATATCATTGGAACACAACATCATTATGTTGCAGTGAATATGAGGTAACAATTACTTCACATATTCTGCTAATAAGCTTAAAACTATATTTCACAATTCTATTTAAAAATTTCAATTATCGGTGAGTTAGATTGGGTGAATTCACTGTAATGCGATCAACAATAAAATTGTGTTCTTTAGAACTAAAATTGCTAGCTAAAATATGAACGGATTTACTGAACATGAATTAATTAAAGCAGTGATTGAAATATGAAAAAGAAACATCTTAAGATAAAAGGTAATTATTATGCTATCCAAAAAGATAAAATCATTTAAAGAAAACTATTGTAGTTTTGGTGACTTACTTGCAATGACTACAAAGGAAGCATCCCTTGTGGAAGGAATAAGAAAGCGCAGATACAATATCTCCTACAAGAACTTCACCACAAATTTTACATCTTGGAGTTGATATTTTTTGATAATCCTTTTGGCAGTAGTATTTATCATTTTTCATAAAGAACCCACCCGTTTTGAGACTACATTTACAATCTAGAAAAATTAAAATTATGGAATTTTAAATTTACCTGAACATGTGAAACAGTCCTTATGAAAATATTTTTCATTCACTTTCAAGACATTTCCCTTGCAACGCTTTTTGCAAACTTCACAGTAAACCTTCCCCATTAGTGTTCGTTATCAAGAAATTGAAAACGCGCGTGTCACCAGAGGCCGTCAATGTGATCACTAGTCTACGGATATCAGGTCCGCGATTGGCGAATTCCGACCCAAACAAGCAGCCGCGGTTTACAAAAAGCGACCTTTGAATTCTCAAACAAAATGTTTACGATTTGAGTATAGTTCTTTAATATTAACATTAACAAGAATTAATTCTCCACATTTTTTTATTTTTTAAATAATTTAATCTACTTTAATCAATCAATAATTTGAGGACGACACTACAAATTTACGAATTGAAATATGTATATGATAAAACTTTTGAATTAATTTACAAAACCAGACTAGGATTTGGAAGCTTTTGAAAATGCTCATTCATTAATTATTAGAACTCTTATACGTTTGAAAGTAAAATTTATCTTATGGTAATTTTCTTCCCGAATACCTACATTTTTAGTTTACTTCAAAACTTCAATTCAAATAAATAACGTATGTACTACTATTATTTTAAAGTTTTTTAATGAAAATTCTCTTGGTCATGATATAATTTGCATTCGAATGATCAACTTACTTAAAATATGAACCGATCTCGTACCATATTTACTCATAATTTCCGGTTTACTACTTCCTGTACAACTCATCACATCTAATCGAAACTACCTAGTTGTTTTACATTTAGCAAAAAATTTTCCTTAGTTTACTATATGTTTGCTTACTTAATTTCCCAAGAAGCTGCACTTAATGAATTCCTTTAGAAGCTAAGGTTGTAGGAACTCGTGCTTCGTTGCTACTTTTATAAATACCTTTACCAATTATTTCATTCTTGTTGATTCCTTTTCGAATTGAATTAACTTTCAATTTTTTAAGTCAGCTGTTTTATAAAATTGATATTTATCCTTATTTTAACCCTTCATTGCGATGTATTAATATCCCTTCTCAATCAAGATCATTTTCTAATATTAATATCATCTGCGTTTGCTCCCAATTTATTGTCAATCGCATCTAAAAAATCTTTTTAGAAACACTATCGGCTTCACTGTCAGAAAATTCAATTAATGGTCATCGATAAAGTCTTCTATATCCAATTACCTCAAATTCCGCTCAAAACTTGATTGCAGCTTACCCAACTAAAAAGCTTAGAAGACTCTATTATCCTATGCATGTTTACTTGCCAGCTAAATCGCCTTTGAGGAGAGGGAAACGGTACTGCCTTAAAGTTTGCTAATTTGTCACCATTTTGACCACGACGAAAAACAGCAACTGACAATTACCTACCCTTTGAAATGTCCTTGTTTCGACAATTAAATCAAACTGTCTATTCTATATAATTTCTGGCAGAAAATTATTCACAAAAATTACTTGATATGAACTTAGATTTCGTTCATTTTTACCTATTTAATGCATCTTATATAGTGGCTTTACATAATTTGCCTTTTAATTCATTCGTATTTATACCTAATGCGAATCGCAAAATTTCCGAACGTACACTGCTTGTGTTCACGAACATTCCGCTTTCTAATTTTATTAACTTTCGAAAGGCAAATTCCAACATTTGACCATCAGATTTTAATACCTTGAATATTTAATGCTACTTACTTGGGAATAAACACAAGTCACAAAATGTTTAATACTTGGGTGGAATTGAAAGTTCGTTCATTTTAAAACTTTTAATCGAACTGGTTAATATCTTACATTCGTGTAATTAGGATACTAAGTTTGGTAGAAGCTTGATCATTACCAAATTAACCGCAAGTCTCTCTACTAAAGTACTATGAGTAGTATATTGTTGATAGAATGCGAACTTTCAAGTACTTCCCTTATTGCTAAAATTGGATTTTCACTCAACCTGAGAATATAATAGCGAATGACTCCTTTGGGGAAATTTTAACTTCCAACGAACGCGTAAAAAATTAAGCTGGGGTATTTTTAATCCCCGCCAATGAACTATAAACTGTCAAAGAGCACAATAGAGAATTTTTGACCTCCTCTTTCCTTTTCACACAACCTAAAAATTGGAGCATGCTCAAAAGAATTCATGTTCAGGATGATTGATTTGTAAATATGCTTTCAACTGCTTATGAATATCGAAAAAAATCCTTATGTAAACAACTTTGCCTCAAGCAACTCAACTCAGCTCGTTGTTGACAAAATACTATATTCTCTTAACTTAGAAGCCAATCAATCGGTACTTGCATTATTGGTGTTAGGTGCACGTATTAAAATTTCACCAAAATGTAAGTCAGTGTAATTTTTTAGGTAAATTAGCTTGTTTTAATGTGTGGCTAAGATGAAGGAGGTCCAGTGTCATGCATCATACTAAAAGTGATATTGGACGTTTTTGTGTGGTCACGTGATGTCTCATGGTCACTTTGTGTTAGCTGAGTTTTGTTGTCATTTGGTAATAACGAGTGTGAATACAATCCCACAAAATTCCACTTTCAATTAAATGAAGAGTGTTTATTGTTTGGGATGCGAATCGTTCAGCCCAAAATATTCACGAACAGTTACGCCTGCAAAAAGTACTGTAGAGAAATTAATTGCCACCTTTTGAGGTGATTTTTCAGCTGCTTGCTCCAAAAGCAAACGTGTGCTTGCGGTTCATTTACCGAAAAATATTCAACGCTTTTACGAAACTCTACTAAGAAGTCCGCGGAAATCAACAAGACGTCTATCCTACCAACTAAGCATTAAACTAACTTAAGGTGTAATGATGATGCAAACATTACAACTATCGGACATAGCAATACTTACTAACTCATGTTATTAAAAGTTATCTGGATTCAAACCTTTATTTTATTTCAGATGAAGCATGGTTCAAACTTAACGGGTACACGAATCCTCGTAGCCTCCCTACTGGTCAAAAGGCAGCCGTAAGAAGCACTCCAATGTGCCTCTTCTTGCCTCAAAGTTTTAGGCATTTGGCGTACAGTTTCAGCCCGAAGGTTTGTAGGCACTGCTTCTTAAATGACCCTGTGAACTCTGAAGTATATGCAATTAAATTGTTGTAATCAATCCTGGGGAAGCTAACAGATAAAAAATCGGAACTTTACTTTTACTATGCGGTCATTTAAAGGGTAAAGTACCCTGTAACAATCTGCGTATAATTGTTGTGTTGGAAATGTATATTCAACAGATGATTGTGGAAATTAAATTAATTGCCCAAAAGTTTCCTAAAACAGGTTGTGTTTTGTATCAACGTTTAAAGCTTCCTCCCCTACTTTAGGCTAAATTTGAGTTTCCTTGTTGGCAATGTGCGAACAGACTGAGAACAGCTAGACCGTTGACAAGATGGTTAAAAATAAGCACTTAATTTATTGTGTGTCACCGAATGTGTGAATGCTTGGAAAAGTTAATTAATACAACCCTTCATTAACAACGATCTTAAGTCGAAGATACGTGCTTAGGACAAAGAGAGACGACTTTGAGATGCAATAAATTTTAGGGCTTTCCTGACTCTGAAAGAGTAAACAACGAGGGAGCAATTCATGGCAAGTTTATACTAGTTCGCGCTGGTAACCAAGACAAGCCTGCTCCTGCTTTTGGTCTGCTACACGTGACATCCGGCCTTTGGGCGGAGTTAGGGTTAGATCGAGGTAGAAACGTGTATAAACAAGGCACAAAGGCCCCTTCCGTGGGGGGGGGGGGGGGGGGGGGGNGGGGGGGGGGGGGGGGGGGGGCGGGGGGAAGCTCTGCTCGCACTCCGCGAAAGAGTGGACAAGTATCCTCTCAGTGCTATTAACGCTGACGAAAAAAGCTAACAAGGAACTTGAGTTCGTCGTTGCTACAGGTGTTGTGAATAGCTTGGTCGTAGTTAGAACCACATCATTTAGCCTTAGCATAGTTGAACAAACACAGTGCTGTAAATTGTTGAACTTAAACTTCCTGCTTTTATGCACAGTTTGAATCGCATGAAACAGAAGAAGTAAGGACGACGTTTTACTTGAGACTGCGTGTTTCCTGTTAAAGGCAATCTATTTTAGACCTGGGGTGTGCGATAGACTTACCTCCACGTGGTACACCCTGGGCAACGTATACTCATACGGCAAAAAATTCAATTAACTGGCAGTTGACTCCTCACTTCAAACTACCATCACCCCACTGTATGTCATTTGCGACCACTTCCATAGTACTCATTTTACCTTTTTCTCTACCTTTGTGTCTGTCTCTTTTACATCTTCACCTTTTTTCTACCTTTGTGTCTGTCTCTTTTACATCTAAACCACTCTTCCGTTTCTCCCTATCGACTTTTTTCACTTTGATGTTCCTCCTCCCCTCTATGAAGCCCGTAGTCAACTAAAGGGCTAATGATACCTGTCAAAACGCCTGCCATTTGATATAAATAAATAAATTTTAGACCTCTTTTATCTAATGGATTATGAATTCGTTCCGATGTATCTTTTGTGTGAGAACTTTTATTGCTAATTTTCTTTAAAAATCAGAAAATGAAAAAAATATAAAACCGTAGTTGCAAATGTAGGCCGCAATACACTTGAATTTTTTCTATCGAAAAAAAGTTTGTGTCATACCCAATTTTGAAAATGTTCAAGAAGGTTTCTGTCCGTTCTTGTGAAACTGACCTTCCGCTCACTTCTTCTATGAACAGTTCTCCAATCTTAGGTCAAGTCTAAGTGAAAGATCCCGTCGAAGGGAAGCACACATGAAGCTCAAATTGAAAGCGAGTCCTACTCGGAACCGAAAATCAAGGTACTGATTTCTCTGACCCCCTTCCCCCCCCCCCCCCCTCCTCCTTCTATGGATGCAATACCTCCTATTTAAAGAAAATTTTGGAGTGAAATACCTTATCATTTTTTATTGACATAAAGCAAGCAAATTTGTTGGAACTTTTCAAGTCATTAAATGAGGATTCAATGCAAATTATTGCACAAGCATTTGGTTTCTAAAGCCCAATCAATCACATTTGACATGTGGTTGATTGGGCTTTAGATGACTCATTTTACTTTTAAACTAGTTGTTGATACCTTCGAAAGCCAAAGTTGTCCAATGAGGTC